GTTCAAAATATATTTTAGTCTTTTTTAGGTTTAACATGAAACCTTTCTCATCAAATGATCTGTAACAGCCTTAGTCTGCTGAGACTGGTGAGACTCATGGTTAAAGTTTTAAAGGTTTGTGAAGAGACTCCGTAGATCTGGTTTTCTTGAGAGTCCAAAGTCACCAGAACATTTTGGAGCAAAAGAACTGATCCAGTTTAGTTCAGAAGGAGATGTTAAAACCAGCCTGCATCCTCCTATGGATGTTTTCTGGGCCCTGTGCTGTCTGTGAGGTCAGGATGAACAACCAGAACCAGACCTACTGTTCTGAGCTCCATCTGCCTTCATGTCCTGGACATCAGCGCCTCCAAGTGGACAGACAAGGCAACAGCAGCTGTGGCTCCTCAATCAGGGTCAAAGGTCATCTCCAACATGCACTCAGCAGATAAAAAATGATGAATCTGCAAATAACCAGATAACTAAAAACCTTTTAGAATCTCCATCTACCAGAAATACAGACCCTGACTGAATGGAGCTACTAAACAACCTGATTTAATTGCATTAAAGGTGAATTTTGATGTTTTGAACTTTTAATAACATTTTGCCAAAATCTGCTAAGCATTGCTATATTAAAGGAACAAACAACACATGGCCACACCCATACTCACCAAAATAACTGATTAACACACCTAAATTATCTAAAATAATACCATTAAATAAGGAATCTGATGTTAAATTTTAAATAATAACAGTACATATTTAATCTGATGACAATTATTCCAAAACATTTGTTATGAAACAACCCAAATCCACCTGGTTCTAATCAGGTTGGACTGAAAGTCTGATTCAGACCCTGATTTTTATAATTGCTTCGTTTTAAACTAGAGACCTGGATTCAGAAAATCAAACAATGAAAGAAAGGTTGTCTTATAATGATAATAATAATAAAAAACATTGAAAACAAATAGCTACTCAGAACCAGGCCCCGTTTCAGAAAGTGGGCCAAACTTATTGTTATCCTGAGTCGACTTCTTCAGCCCTGTGGGGTCAGGACCTTTAGTTTCAGAACAGGTGATTACCAACCAGCTAACTCAGCTCTGGGTGGAGTCAGCCCAGAGATCAGGGGAAGCCCAATGAGAAGCCCTGATCAATGGAGGGCAGAAAACATGATCCAGCGAGGCAACAGGAGGAAAAAAGGAACCTTGAAGCGCACTTTTCACTCCTCTGGAACTAAATGTCTGTAAAAAAAACTAATTTTACTTCTTCAACATGTTCTAACACAGTAAAGCACCGTAAATAATGTCCAATCTACAATAAATAATTAAAATAACAATAGCAAAAATAAAACAGTAAAGTTGATTCTTTAAATAATAGAATAAAGCTGAATTTTCCTCCTGCTCATCAGGGTCAGAAAGCTGACAGGTCCTATAGGCCCAGTCCACTTTCTCTCCCTTGCACTCGGTTTGGACCCCAACACTCGGTTTTGCGTGTTCACATGCAAGGTTAGTGTGTCCCAATAATTTTCAGAGCGGGAAGTGCCCTTCAACCCTTAACATGATCCCTTCTGACCAACTGAGGTCAGGAGCTGACTTTGGAACGGAATGGCGTCCCAAAACTCGTCCAATGAAAGGAAAAATGCCGTCCAGCTGTTGAAAAGATCTGCACATGTGTAAGTATATTTTTTTTACAATTAACCACACATAAAAAAAAAAATTTGGTTTATCTTATTTAGATC